ATTCATCAGACCAGGCTACCTTCTTCCATTGCTCCGTGGTCCAGTTCTGATGCTCACATGCCCCCTGTTGGTGCTTTCGGCAGTGGACAGGGGTCAGCATGGGCACCCTGACTGTTCTGCAGCTATGTGGCCCCATATGCAACAAACTGTGATGCACTGTGTATTCTGACACCTTTCCATCAGAACCAGCATTAACTTCTTGAGCAATTTGAGCAACAGTACCTCGTCTGTTGGATCGGACCACACGAGCCAAGGTTCCTTCCTTGGACCACTTTTGATAGATACTGACCACTGCAGACTGGGAACACCCCACAAGTGTTTCAGTTTTGGAGATGCTCTGACCCAGTCATCTAGCATCACAATTTGGCCCTTGTCAAACTTGCTCAAATCCTTATGCTTGCCCATTTTTCCTGCTTCTAACACATCAACTTTGAGGACAAAATGGCTGCATCCGAAAACTGAAAAAATGCTGCCTTCGGAGGACGCATAGGAAGGCATCAAGGCACGTCCGAATTCAATGTTAGCTTCAGTTCCTGTCTCCTGAGATGCCTTCATCAGGACGATTTTTGAAGGCAGCATGGATGTATCCTTCGCTGCCTTTGATATCCCACAGTCCTGTGCATTCCATTCTGTGACAGTTAAGCTAAAAAATAAAGATGGCATCTGAAAGTTGTGGTCAGTGGTCAGTTTGTGTGTAAATGTATGTTTTTGATCAACGTTTTCCACTTTTGATGTCATTTCTACAGCTCACTTGCTGCCTAACATATCCCACCCACAAACAGGCAGGGGCGCCGTTAGCAATTTTGGGCCCTATGAAAGAATATGAGGTTGGGCCCCCTACCGCACCAAACATACACTATATTGCCCAAAGTATTCGGACACCCCCTTCTAATGAACAGGTTTGACTACTTTAGTAATTTCCACAAGTACAAATCTTAATGTTTAAGCATATAATGCTATTCTAGGGAATTGTGTGCTTCTAATTTTATACCAATAGTCTGAACAGGACCCTTTTCTATTCTAACACAACTCTGTGTATAAGTCAAGGTTAAATATATATATATATATACTGTATATATGGATGCAACATCGCTGATTTCTCTGATGAACTCCAGGCTCCTGGAGGCTGATTGAAAGACTGGCTGGGATCCATTCATCTGATTATAGAATTTTGATTGTAATTTTCTTTTTGCCTTGTGCTCTGCTGAGAGTCAGGTAGTTAATTAATTGAGAAACAATTTTTTTTAAGAATAAAATGTTTCAGGCTGTATTAAAGGAAACCTTCTTGTATAACATCTTTCACGAATGTAGCGATTTAAGATATGGTCTCTACGTACTTCATGCAAACACACATCTCTGAAACACCAGACCTCTAATCTCAAACAACAGTTTGCAGTCAGCGAAAGATATAAAAGGCATTCTTAACAAAGCTGTGACTCCCTAACAAAATGTCCACCTGTCGTTTCCATAACAAAGAAGAAGAATAATTCTGTAGTGACAAAATCTTTCTCACTAAGAATTAAAAAAAAAAAAATCATAATTGTGGTAACAGAAACTGTTTAAAGGGTCAGTTCATGTACTGAGAAGTATATTGTTGCACAGGAAGTCATAAAAGCATGATCTAAGTGGATAATGTGAATGTAGAAGCACAGATACAGGAAATGACTATCATTTTGAGATGCAGTAATTCCATTAATAATTAACATTTTGTACACATTTAACTCTCACTTTACCAGGGGTTAAATTAGACCAGTGACGGGAAAATCTGACCTACTGCTCAAGATGACATACTGTTAGTCATGTGACCAAGAGATTGTGGTACTTGATGTGTTGCCTTTTCAGTTTTACACACAAGTATTTGGATGTATTAATAGTGCAAATTCATTTTTATGTGATTTTTCTCTTTTTAGGGTGATTATTAACTGTGTTTTCACTGTCGGGGACATGAGGCAGACAAATATTTACTGCTGATGTACCTTTTATGGGTTGGCATTTATGAGTACTGAATGACAGGTAAATGACATGCTTTATTGAAACCAACTGGCTATGAGTTCCAAGCTGTGTTATTTTAGTATCACTAATTTAATCGAAATAATTAATTAAAATCATATATCAATATAGTCAGTCAATATAGCTTTTATTAATTTTTATTTCAGTTTAGGTTTTAGTTATTTTAGTATAAGTTAACTAAATTAAATGAAAAACACTGCCTTGGCAACTAGATGAAATAAACCTTATATATAAGGAAGGTCAGATTTTCAGGACACTGTCATTATAAACTATATACTATTACAAAGAAATATAATTGTGAAGGAAATTCTAGTTGGGAATGAATCAATTTGAGCTATTTGCAAATAAAATGTAAAAAAAATAAAAAATAAAATAAAAAACGTTGGAGCAATGTTTAATATAAATGCATGTAGAAAGTTTAACACAAAAGGCCTATAAATCAGTGTTGAAATTTATGAAAAGACACTGAAACAATATCAACATCAATCCATGATGTTAAATTACAAGTAAATAAATGTTGATGCAGGCTGGGAATAATAAATATTCATTTCTGAAGATTAGAGTCATTCTTTACACATTTAAACACTGAAATATGAACCTTGTTAAACAACCATGGCCAACCATTATATATATATATAATGACAACACAGACAGCAAGAGGAGCCAAGAAGGCACACTGGACCATGACAGGAGTAGCCCAGGTAATCTGGCAGTGGAGTGAACACTTCAACCAAAGGATGCACAGTGACCACATTCTGCCCCGGATATGACCCTTGAGTGTACAGGACAGATGCCAGCGGAGCTCTGTATTGCTGGGAAGTGCTGGGATAGCTGTGAGAGGGAGGGAATCCAGCATCGGAGTACTCCGGAGGGTCCTGCTGCAGTGGAAACAAAGGCTGCCCTGTTTCTGGATTCCGCTCTGTTGGAGACTTATTGGAATCCATGTTTTTCTTGATCACAATGAGCTTTTCTTGCACTACTGAACAGTGTCTGTCTCTGGTGTGTACTGTACTCAACAGTGATTAATCTGTTGCTTTTATCACATTCCTCTTAAGATGACTGGTGGTCCAAGTTTATATTGCAGTACAAAATTATTTGTAAGTTTTTACCTATTGTATAGATGGTAATTATACCATACCACTTTACCAATAGATGGTAAAGTATTTCATTTTTAGATTTGGAATTTATTTCAATATGGTATTACTGTGAAAATGTTTTATTAATACATTTTTTTATCTATGGATTTTATTATTATTATTAGTAGTCCACATAGACTGCTGTTGTGCTCAGTGTGAAGAGTTTTGAAAAAGTGACCCAAGTATTGAAAAATGGACTCTAGTCTATACTCATGGTCTATACTTACAAGTTTGAATGTGTTTTAAAAGAAAACCACTTTTAATTAAATTAGAAACACCTTTATCACCGTTTTAAAAATCAGTTTCTGATGGTTCATGGTTTGAGTATTGACTAACACTTTCATTTCTTTTGAAGTTGGTTGGTCATTGAGACCCAACCGTCTGGTATTATTGCTTGTACTTTTCTGATGAAATTCGATAACACTTTATAATAACTTTCATCAATAAAACATTAACAAACATTATATTATGCTTAACAGATCATTAGTTAATATATATTCACATAGCTAGAAATATGAGATATACTGTGCTTGTTAATGTTTACTAATGTACTTATTAAAAATTACCTATTAACAGATAATTATTTAATGTGCATTAAAATGCTTACAAATGTCATTAAACTTTTAATTCATAAGATCATGCACTTCTTAAAAATCTTCAAATGATTTTGACAGATGGTTTACAATGATTAAAAGCTTCATTAATAAATCATTAACAAACATTATATTTTGCTTAACTGATCATTAGTTAATGCTAACAAATGTCATTAAACTTTCAATTCGTACGATCATGCAGTTTTTTTTAAAATCTACAAATAATTTTAATAGAAATTATACAATGATTACAAGTTTATTTGTTAATGTACTTTTGAATGCAAACAAATGTCATTAAACTTCAGTTCACATATTACCTAATGCTCTTTTTTGAATTTACAAATGTTGTGAAAAATTAACTTAATTTTATGCTCTTTACTATTAATGTTAACTTATTATTCATTAACACATAATCACAGTCTGTAAAGGTCATATATTTGGTCTTCGTTTCTTGTTTAGACTTCTATTGTTTTCACATCGTAACAAATCATTTATTAATAATTTATTCATGTTTTTGCAGTACCCAATCTAAAGTGGAAACTATTCATCATTTGTAAATGTTTATAAACGTTTACTAATCATTCTGTACCTTTATGGGCATTGGACTTCTAGCTGCTGTAACAACGTTTGTGTAAAGGGTGGTTTGTTAAGTTTATGTAAATGCTCCTTAAAGACATAATATACGTAATTTGGTGGAAAACGTGTTTTTATTGCCTCAACACTTATATTAGTATACTACATCATTAAACAGGGTATTCCTTGAATCATACATCAGCAGGAGAAAACAAATCAAAATACTTGTTCATTTCTCAAAACAATGTAATATAAACAGACTGAACTATGCTCCCTTATAGTAATCAAACTGACCCCTCTACACTTTTGACCCCTTATCCAACCCTTAAACCTACCCCTACCACCAAACCCTAACCCTAACCTACCCATATCACACCTCAATAGCAGCAAAAGTGTTGTACATTAACAAAAGTTTTTAATCATTGTACAACATCTGTTAAAATAATTTGTAGATTTTCAAGATGTGCATGATCATATAAATTAAAAGTTTAATGACATTTGTAAGCATTGTAATTTACATTAATTATCTGTTGATCATTAGGTAATGTTTAATAAGTTTAGTAAACATTAACAAGCACATTATCTCATGTTTCTAGCTATATGAATATATATTAACTAATGATCCGTTAAGCATTATATAATGTTTGTTAATGATTTATTAATGAAAGTTATTATAAAGTGTTACCCGAAATTAATTTCTCATAAATTGGCAGGTACACAGTTGCCCGCATGATAAAAAGGGTTAAAAAACGTGGGTTGACAGACAGATTTATGATAGATTTATGCCCATATATGTACATACATAATAAAACTGTATGTAAAAAACTCAAATTAGCACAGCTGCATACAAGATAAGCAAAAAGTCTTAACATGCAATAATCAGCCTTAAAGCACATGTTGTAGGCTATAATGATACATTGAGAAAATAGCATTTGCAATGCAGAGAATCAAATCTGTTTGTAATCTGCATCCAACCATGACAGCTCTATCAGCTTTTATCAACAGCAAAAATATTGACGATAATCAACAGTACAATGAGAACGAGGCCAATAACAAGGGCAGCATGATTTAGGATGACTGCCATTTTGGAGTTCTTCTCTGCTAATTCTCGCTGTCCTGAGTAGTTGGCATTTCGAGTCTGTGAAAACAAGTGTAAGACATAATGTCAACCACTTCTGTTCTCATTCTGAGCTTCTTTGAGCCAATGGCAGACGGGGGAGTTCTCAAAAGAGGGGGCAGACTTTTCTTAGTAACATGTAATGCTTCATTTTCGTTTGATGGAAAGTTTCTTTTATGATGGATGCATGCAGTTTATTGGGCTTCAAAATGTCAACCACTAGTCACTGCTATTACAAAGCTTGGAAGAGCGGGACATTTTTTTTAAATATAACTGCAATTGCATTCGTCTGAAAGAAGAGTCATACACACCTAGGAAGGCTAGAGGGTGAGTAATTTGGGTGAACTATCCCTTTAAGGCGTCAGTTTTCCCTACGTGTAAAGACACAGTTTTACCAAAGCCACTAGCAGGCAAGCCTGCAACCTTTAGCCAAAAATGCGTAATGGCTAATGCTAACGCTTCCGCTTTGGCAATACGTGGGAAAGGAGACCAGAGACCTTTTTTTTTTTTAATGGATGTCAATGGAGGAGAGGCTTCACTATGCTGAATAAACATCTTTTTAGAGGAAACAGCTTATCATTTGATTAATCAACAGCCTATCGGCTAATCTTCATCATGTTTTACACTAATCAATACTTTTGGATTTAACTATTTTTAGAGTTTACACTGAAAAAAAAATGCCGTTTTGTAAGAGAAGTCACTGACTTTTTGCGACAGGTGGGATTCAGCTTACGCCACTTCTCATTCATTCCTATGGTATCCGTAAATGGTGATTGAGTGTCACACAACTCTGACTGAAATTCAATGACGTCAAGGCTGTAATGTGATTGGTTATTAAGGCACACATGATCCAAGTTGACCGTTACGCTTTCTCCAATAGTAAGTAATATCAACGACTATAGAATACCAAAGACGTGTCACTCGTATAGTTTTGAATTGGGAAAAATGCAACGCTCAATATGGCCGCTCTATTGAATGAAGCCCCGCCTTCTGAGTAAAAGAGCCAATCGCTAATCGGTAAAATCATCGCGTCACTGCAACTGCCGTTAGAAGTCTATGGAAGGCGGATAGTGCCAAAAGTCTTTAAACGGAACGCGTGAAATTTGACCGTGTCAACACGCACAATTTTGATTTGATGTTTCGGTTAATTTTTCTGATGCAGCCTTGAATATATACAGTATTTTTATTTATTCATGTTATCTGGAAACAGCCTACGCAACAAAGCTGCAGGAATCTTGTGAGTAAGCTTGCTCGCCTGCCTCATCTCTCCTATTGAAAATAAGCTTGGGGTTGTCATGTACACGTGCTAGTACAGAAGATGGAGGATGAAATGGGTGTTTCAAGGCTGTTCACACATTCGTAACAAATAGTAAAGCATAATCAAATTTTTTACCCATGAAAAAAAGAGAAAAATCTTGCTTAATTTCTGTTCAAATGAAAAGAAGGTACACGGACCTGGGAATAAGAGTAATAACTATCAAAACTATCAAAAGAAAATAAACAACAAAATGTATTAATTTACTAGCTACAACACTAATTAATGACCATAAACTAAAGAAATATGAGGGTAAAAAAATATTACACGTTCAAAATTGCCACCTTAACACGGCCAAAATGTGTGCGTTGAGAAACCCATTCAATTTTGTGGTCTTAATTCGGTCAAACTGAGCGTCTTTACACGAACCAAATAAACGCAGCAAAAACTGATGCCTTAACACGGCCAAAATGTGCGTGTCTTTACATACAAAAGAAACGCGTTCAAAATTGCCACTTTAAAGCGGGCAAATTGTGCATGTTGACACGGTCAAATTTCACGCGTTCCATTTAAAGACTTTTGGCGCCATCCGCCTTCCATAGAAGTCCCGGTTGCAATTGATAGTTTTCACGTGACGTCACACCCTTATAGGAACGCCCACCTGGAGGGCAAAACGAAGCTTTGCTCCACTGATCACCAGTTATTTTTACGCAGTTTGCATTAAGTAGTAATGTAGTAAAACGCAGATATTAAAAGGTGAAATTCAGTAAACACCTTATTATGTATATTTTGTACAGGCAAGCAGATGAAGCCAGAATATAAACACAGTGTGCAAAGTTTCACGTTAAATGGTTTCCCACAGAAAACTATTAGAATGAAAACACTGAACCATTAAGCGGATTGCGTTCATATTCCGGCCTCATTAAATATATTAAGGTACTTTAAGTGTTTTGACAAAGTTTTGTTGCACTGTTTAATGATTGAAATATTGCCGCGGGTGCTTAATATGGATTGCAAATGGCCAAAACGTGCATTTTGTTCACACACCTTTGTTTTATTCTTTTGAAAGGTGATCTAAATATTTGCAGTTGTGAAACAGATGGAAAATTGACAGGCTTGTCCTGCAGTTCTATGGATGTTTTGCCCTCCAGGGCTTCGAGTGACTGAAAGCTATGAATTCGACCTGATTCGACCGCTCCAGATACGTTGAGGCGTCCGCCATCTTGGAACGGTCAACTTGACGTCATTCACCATAATAATCAATGAATATTCAAAGACATACAAGCATATAACTTGCTGTTGTAGACGCACACAGTCGATGCACTCAAAGGTTCGCAGACTGTTCCAAAAATGGCGGACGGCTTACGTATCGCGGGCCAAGTACTGTTTTAAATATATTAAGGTACTTTAAGTGTTTTGACAAAGTTTTGTTGCACTGTTTAATGATTGAAATATTGCCGCGGGTGCTTAATATGGATTGCAAATGGCCAAAACGTGCATTTTGTTCACACACCTTTGTTTTATTCTTTTGAAAGGTGATCTAAATATTTGCAGTTGTGAAACAGATGGAAAATTGACAGGCTTGTCCTGCAGTTCTATGGATGTTTTGCCCTCCAGGTCTTCGAGCCATTCATGTGACTGAAAGCTATGAATAGAAACAGTCAGCGTTCTGAGACGCGCACTGGCTGGTCTAGCCTGAAAAATAAGCTTTGTTTATCCCTATTTGAGCAAAAGAAACAACATTTATGAGACTGTTGTTGTCATATTTCATTGGTGATTTCAAATATGAAATTTAATCTTAAGCTTGGAGAATTTGATTTTTCCCCATTCAAAGAGATTGGAGCTGCACTTGCATGCCCGAGAGACGTTTCAAAGATGGCCGCCGAGTGACATGACTTGACATGATTTTGGTAATACAGACCCTCGTATCTCCCAATAGTAAGACAATCTCTGGTTTTACCGCTTTAAGACAACAAATTTGAATGTGTAGCCTTTACTTGAAAACATGCTGTTAAATTTACTATCAATACTTAAGTAAAAATGGTTTCCTAGTTTTTCTCTTTTTTAATTATTTATACAGAACTACAACAGTAAAAATAAATAATAAAAAAAGAATACGATTTTTAATGTGTGGGATCAATTTCGGGGACTTTAAAAAAAAAAAGCAATATAGTTTCAGACAATAGATCAACCACGTAAAAAATATATAGGCTATACTGTACATAAACTTTAAGCAAACTTTTTACTCCTTCTATATTTTATGTATACATATTTTTCATAACTAAACACTGAAACCATGGTACAAACATGCCCTTTTTTTTTTTTGCTTCTCTATCGCATGAACATTTTATGCAATTTTATGCTTATTACTTATATATAAATGTTAAAGTTGTTAAATAAAAGGAAAGCACATGGGCTAATACTTACAGAGCAGGAGTAAATCAGGGCAGCAATGCCCAGAGGAAAACAGCAGCACAGCATGGTAAAGATGGAGTAGCCCATATAATCTGGCACTGGACTGGCCAGTGGAGCAGCGGTCACAAAAACTGCAGGCTGTACAGCGACCACAGTTTGTCCTGAATACGGCCCCTGGGCATAAGGGCCTTGGGGGACTGGCTGGCTTGGAAAGGAGGGAGAACATCCAGCAAAACTGTCCTGGTATGCTGGTGGTGGTGCTGAAGGATGTAACATCGCTGATTTCTCAGATGAATTCCAGGCTCCTGGAGGCTGATTGAAAGACTGGCTGGGATCCATTCGTCTGATTATTGGATTTTGATTGAAATTTCCTTTGCCTTGTGCTCTGCAGAGACGTATTCCTGTATTCTGGTTCAGGCTTCTCTGTGCTGATGAAGACAGTCAGCTTAGGGAGGTGCGTTGTTGGTTGCAGAGGAGGAGTGACAAGAACTTTATCACGTTATCACTGTTTCCCTGTGACTGCAGGCGCCACCTTGTGGTTTCACATTTATTCTGATGAGATACATGTAAATTATCTGGAGGATTCACCATATCCAAGCAAGGATGAAGCCTGACAGATGTTGGCATGAGGTTACATGGTCTCTACATACCTCATGCAAACACACTCTGAAACATCAGACCTCCAATCTCAAACCACAATTTGCAGTCAGCAAGAGATACAAAAGCCATTGGTAACAAATAGGAATGTAACGATGCACCGCGAGCCGGTTGAAAATCGATTCAAATATGGGACGATTCAAATCGGTTGAGATGTTAAATAAATCGCGATGCAGTTGGGAGTATGAAGTTTATATGAATGTATCACTGAGGGGAACTGACTGTCTTTAGAAAAGTTTATGATGTTTTCTTTTCATCTTACCTGCATATCCACCTTTTTCTTCAACGCGGAAATAAGCCTATGGGTGAGACTTCCGGTTCATTAGCCGCTATAGGTAAATAACGAGGAAAATAACAAAATGCAGTAAACGGTAAAACTGTTTGCACTACATACCAGTGTGTTCATAATTAAGATAATACATTAAAATAACATGATAAGGCACACCAACTTTCAATAGGGCCTTTCGCACCGCGGGAACCTTTTCATAGTACCAGAACTAATTGTGGAACTACCCACTTTTTGGCGTTTTCGCACCGCCGGAACTGGGTGCGATTTTAGTACCGGACTGCCTTTTTCGAGAACCAAATTAGCTCCTACTCCGGAGCTAACTCAGGGTCTAACTGGCACAACTGTACTAATCATGACGTAAGTAGACATTGATTGGCCAAACGCATATGAAAACGCCCTCACCCGCCTTGATTTAAAACGCTGTGTAAACATACTGTAAACATTGTGTCAACTTATTTCGCAAGTATGGAGAACAGCGATAGATGGACGGACGCTGAAGTGCAGGCAAATGTAGCACTGCCAGTTGTCATTGGAGATTCTAGTCCTCCTTTCCGTTCTTTCAATCGCTTTACGTATACGTCGACTTTCCATGTCCATTATTGTGAAACCCGCGAGACACAACAAAAACACAGCTCCGATCACAGCGTCCTCCATCCTCCTGTTGTTAATGTTGTTCTTCTTTGTTTCCGTTGTTGAACGCCGCGCACAAATGACGTCGCTGTCGACCGGCCTACGTCACTTCTTAGTACACACTGTCGGTGCGAATGCAACCTTTTAAATAGTACTGGGAAATAGTTCGCGCAAAATCGTCCCAGTACTTTAGTACTGTACATTTAGTTCTGGAACTAAAGCGGTGCGAAAGGCCCTAATATCAAGCAGCAAAACTAACTCTTTTGTTCAGCTAAAAATAGCTGGATGGAGTGGATGCAGATAAGACCGGAAGCCAGACCCATAGAATTTACGAATGGCTGTGCCCATTTTTACGACAAGAAAAAGGTGGATAATGCATATTAATGTTGTTGCTGCGCTGCTTTGTTTACAGTGGTAACCAAGGAAATGCTGTGTCGCTACTGTTCCATAAGCACCACCTGCTGTCAGAGAGTGAATTTGCGTATTGATCCCGTCTGCTGTTTTTGTCTCGTTCAGATGTTTTATGTAGGATAATTTCACAAAATTAAAGTCAGACCATTCTGTTTTTGCTTCAATTTTCGAAATTCTATGATCTAATTTAGATAAAAAACTGTGCGTGCAGCATGCATACATCTTTGTTTGGATCATGATTAAAATACAGTGGTTGCTGAATGGAAAGAGCACAGGAAAAACCTTAGTTCTGTATAATGCCAAAGTCTTTCTCACTAAGAATTTTTTTAATTAATTTTTTTAATCATTATTATGGTAACAGAAACTGTTTAAAGGGTCAGTGTATTCTTCCACGGGAAGTCATAAAAGCATGAGCTAAGTGGATAATGTGAATGAAGCACAGATACAGGAAATGACTATCATTTTGAGATGCATTAATTCCATTAATAATTAACATTTTGTACACATTTAACTCTCAATTCACCAGGGGTTAAATTAAGCCAGTTTTAGTTTCAGTTTTAGTTTTAGTTAACTATAATAGCCCTGGTCCCAAGCAAAGTCTCCCCTAAGCTGCACGTAAGCTATGTCGCGACCGCACAGAAGAAATAATATGCAGCGCATAGGACAGAGCAAAAAAATGAAACGCGAAATAATTGCAATGCTCTGGAAAACAGCTATAGAGTTGGTGTCACTATAGAACCGGTGAATGCGGTTTACAGGTTTCACTGAAAGAGAATGATGTGCGCTAAATCAGTCACTGTAAAAAACGAATACTTTATGTTTATGGGGATGTTTTAGATAACTAAGATAATTCACACGTTCACGTATTTTGAAAATAGTTATTGGGGAAAATTAAAAAAAAAAAAAAAAATACATAAAAATGAATGACCTCAAAAAGGGAATTCATGAGCAATAACTGCTTTATTTTTCATATTAGCTAGCTATATTATATTATTAGCCTACATTATATTATATTATTATATTATAAAGAATTGAACTGTACTGCGTGAGATTTTTTAAAAATGATTTTTAATATAATTTCTTAACACAGCACTGTAAAAAAAAATTTCTCAGATAACCTAAAATTTGCATCATTTAGTTACATCAAGGGTCAAATCAAATATATATACCACATATAATACCACATTAAAGTTAAAAGTTTCACACTTTTTTGTGTGCGCACGCTGTACAGGTCTGGTATAAAGAATGTTTTTGCTAAAAAAAAAATAGAGGGAACATTGGTCTCAAGTGATTGATAAATTAAATATTTTTGTTGATGTTGCTAGGCTAATATTTGTGCCCTTTTGTTTACAGTATTTCTGCACCTATACTGTGGGAGTTTGTTGTTTATTAACGTATGAATCCTTAAATACGTTTACATATGTTTAAGACATCACTAACAGGTAAAGTAAAATATAATGAAAACTTGTAGTAAAGAGGAAGAGATGATCACGCCGCCGTTTGAACGGAGGCGTTTATACAGCGATCTGTCGCGCCACATCCAAGAGCGTCAAAACGGCATTTATTGTTTGAATTTCCTGTAACAAATGACATAATTTGAAAGATGAGACTTTGTTTCTTATCAAAAGTAACAACATATAAAACTGCAAAGTTTCCAATGAAGTTCCTCTCCTGCAGTGGTTAAAACAACACTGTATTTGTTCGGTACAGACGCGTATCGAACCGAAAGACCTGTACCGAAAATTTTGGGTACGAATACGTGTAGCCTACCGTTACACCCCTAATATATATTAGATGCCAGCGGAGTTCTGTATTGCTGGGAAGTGCTGGGATAGCTGTGAGAGGGAGGGGAATCCAACATCGGAGTACTCCGGAGGGTCCTGCTGCAGTGGAAGCAAAGGCAGCCCTGTTGCTGAACTTTTTGGAATCCATGTTTCTCTTGGTCACGATGTGGTTTTCTTGCAGTGAACAGTGTCTATCTCTGGTGTGTACTCAGGTGAAGATCAATCTGTTGCATTTGCATCACCTTACTATTAAGGTGACTAATAGGCGCCACCCATAGGGATCTTCCTTCCCTCCAATTAGTTTTTATTTACAATCGCTGGGAAACATCTCTCAAAATAGGTCACTTTTTCAAAACTACATCTACATCTAATTGTTTAGAAAGTATTTTATTTTATTTTTTTTAGATTTGCAATGTATTTCAATATGGTATTACTGTAGAAATGTAGCCAATTGTTGTCTTATTCAGAAAAATGGGTTCTAGCCATCATAAAAAAATAGTTTTATTTCTGTCAGCAGTCCATGTTACACTGATAAAAATGATTCTGTGGTGAAGTAAATACTACAGAAAAACAAATTTAATTTCTACATGAAAAAGTTAGTTCAGGCAATAAAAAAAAAGTAAATTCTTTATTAAGTAAAACCTACTCAACTTTTCTGATACTGGTGTTCCCATCATGCACTGGGGCATGAATAATTAATAAGGTTGATTTTTTGCTGTTTTCCGGCTGATTTACACGGTTTTGTCATTGCTTTTGTTGTTAGGTTCTGCGGAGTTCATATTCAACTCAAAATGACACATTCTCAAAAATGAACCACAGAATGTTACCAAGATTGTGTATTGTTTACCAAGTACTGCAGTCTCTGTTTTCGGATGAGTGTCGCATTACTAATTCTATAAGTGTGGTGTTTATATGATATTTATTGTAATATTTACGTAGATGTTTCTGAGCAAAACATGCACATTAAAAGCATGGTTTAATTAGGTGAGCTTTGTAAGCTTTGACTAGAAAAAATTACTAAACTTTTCAGTTAAAGTTGCTTATTTTCTTTGTTAAACTTACTTAGGTAAGTAGATTCTACTTAATTCGATATGTGAAATTAAATATAATTATGTAATATTTACTTAATTTCTTTATGAATGTTAAGTTCAATAGTAAGTAGAGTGTACTTAAAATGTGTTGAAATTGTTACGAAAATTTTATCAAGTAAATCCTACAAGTTATTTTTTTCAGTGTATACTCACAACTTTACATGTGCTTTAAATAAAAGTACTTTTATTAATTGAGAAACACCTTTATCATTGATTAAAAAAAAATTGTTTGCGCTTTCTGATTTGAGTATATGACTAACACTTTAATTTCTGTTTAAGTTGGTTGATCACTGAAAAAAATGAGCACAGCTGCACACAAGATATTTAATATAAGCAAAAAGTCTAAACAAAACATTTTAGAAGTAAAGAGAACAGAAAACTGCATGGTAGCTTTCACTGGTTTAAACATAGAATAATCAGCCTTAAAGCATAAGAATAATGATAAATTGAGCAAGTAACATTTAAAATAAAGAAAAACAAATCTGTTTGTAATCTTCATCCAGCCATGTCAGCTCCAACAGCTTTTATCTTCATTTCGTCATATGGATGATAATAAACAATACAATAACAACAAGGCCAATCCCAAG